CACATGCCGGCCATTCAGAGCCAATTCAGGCGAAAAGCAGCAGGCGCGAACTACATTGCCGCACGTGCGGCCATGCATGGCGAGTACTCCAACAGTCATGAGCAGCACCATCCGGTCGGGCCCGAGCCTGCTCTGCGCCTCAGTGTCCACCAGCTCGAACGCGCTCTGGCTCAAGAAAAGTCGTTCCCGCCGCGCTGAGTGCCGGTACTACATGGATCAGCTGACCAACGAGAAGACTCGGACCATCAAGGACAATCCCGTTTACCGCCACCACAACGCGGTCACCGAGCTCATCGCCGGCGCCGGATGGGACGTGGATCCGCACCTGAACGCCGAAGGCCTGGAGAACAACCTGATCAAGCTTGTGAGCCTGACAGGCCACTACAAGACCATGATTCTCGACCAGCAGCACCGCGCAACCGTCAAGTACCGTGTGCAGTTCTTCAAAGACCAGGCGGCCGCTTTCGAGATCCTGCAGCCTCTGCTGCATTGGCCATCGGACCATGCTTGGCAGGCCTGAGGCGAGCGACGCGCGCCGCCAGGGTCATCGACGCTCTTCCCAACGAGAGCCTGCTGCCGAAGCCGCTGCTGTAGCGCTACCGCGATATTCTCAACCGCGAGCGTGGGGGGGGGGGGGGGATGATTCAGGCCTTTCATCGACGAACAGGAGTGCCGAGCGAGCCAAACGGCACGAGAGCTGGCAGCAGCAAATCGGCGGCGCCATCACCCATCCCACGGCGTCGACGGCCAGCGCGCTCTCGGGCCCCAGGGCGCGGAATCCTCTCGACAACCTGACGGCGCTCAAGATGCAGCAGGACATAGCCGAGGACAGGGTCATGCTCTACAACGACCTGTTCAAACGCCATGAATTCCTGTGCCAGCGCGACCAGCATACAGCCCTCATCCTGCTGCGCCTTCCCCAGGTGCTCCAGATCAGCGGCCGCACCTTTTCGCTGAGCGCCCTCTTGGAGGGCATCCCGAAGCGGGAAGACCTGCCGGCCTGCACCCTCGGCATGGGCTGCACGCTGGGACAGACGCACTGCGAGATGCAATTCCGAGCTCTTCCAGCCCAGCTCAGCAACCCCATCGACGCCCACCTCAACCCAGCTGCTGGTGTCTTTGTTCCAGGCTCGGGAGCTGTGCGTGGTGCTGATGCTGATGCCGGTGTTGCTGGTTCGAATGCGGATGCTGCCAACAGTGGCACGGGTCCTGCCTCTGCGTCGACCAAGCGCCAGCACCCTGGAGATTCTGAGCAGGACCAGGAACCGAATCAGAGGGTTCGGCTCGCCAAGGAGTGATCAGGATGCCGGATGCTTGTTGTGTGTTGCGAACTTGGGCAGTGTGGCAGAAGCGGCGTGGAAGTGGCCGCGGACATGGCACTGGAGAGGACAAGGGGACATCACGGGAGATGTCTGGTGCGGCGCGGTGGATGCGTCAAGCGGATCGTTGCACGAGACATGGCCGAGGTTGCTAAGTGATGAGCCGTTCGTTTGGATGGTTGTCAGGATCGAGGTTCGCTTGGCATGGCATGGCTTAGCTCGAAATGAGCCTTGGGAGTGCAATGCACTGCTATATTTGCTGTCGTGTGATACAGAAGAAATGAGGTAGCCGTAGCCGAAAGAAACAATGTGGAGAATAGGGCTGTGAAGATGGTGAAGATGTCAAGTTGCATACATCCAGGTACCTACCTCAGGTACCCAAGTAGCGAAAAGTCAAGGCAGGTGGGATCGTACTGCGTGACCAGATCTCGATCACCAGGAGGCAAGGCAGGTGCAGCGCAGTGCAGGTGCTGCAGGAGCGATTGGCAGAGGTGCGACGGCGATGCCGTTGCCGTTGCCATCGATCTGCGGCTGTGGCGCAGCGCCCTCGTACTTCTTTCTGCCTTTTGCCTTCTGCATGATCCCAATGCCATGCCAGACCAGGCCATCAAGAGTTGTTGGCTCCCCCTCTGCCAAGAGCTGACATTGCTCGGAATACTCCTCGCCAGAGGTTCGTCATGAAAGCATTCGCTGGTAACATGCATCATCATTCATGGGGCCATTTCCCTCGTTCTGACCCGACCTCATCCTGCAGGGCACACCAGCCACATGTCTCGGGCACCCAACGATGCGTGGCTTGGCGCAAGGCTGGCCCCCCTCTCCCCCCGCGTCTTGGGCTGCCTTGGGAGCTTGGTGGAGGGGGGCCACCTGAGCTTGGCCTCTCTCAGCTGACGACGGCGGTCATCTCCTCTGGTCAACCTGCCCTGAAATACCTGGCGTGACGCGCCTCATGGGACGCTCTCTCGACTGCACCTGGTTGAGGTGCCTCCCGTCTTTCCACGGATCGTCATAAAGCCTCGCACCATGGTTCTCGGTCCCTTCTCCCCCAGCGCCATCCTGACGCGCCTGTGGACGCGACACCAACGCCACGAAGAAGCACGATCACTGCGCATGCGAGAGAGGATGGGTTCGACCAAGTTCTTCGGCTCCCAGGTCGGCGGCCAGACCGTCATCAACTATGCCTACACGGATCTCCCGTCGAGATTGATGACCTGGGACATCTACTACTTCTTCTACTACGCCTGGGCCCTGCCGTGGATCATCCTGCCCCTGACGCCCTCCGACTCGGGCCATCTCGACGAACTGGCTGTGACGCCGCAGAACATCTTTTGCGTTGCGCTGCACTTGATCCTGTTCATCCTGCAGCTTGTCTTCGTCCTGTCTCTGCCCGCGGCTCTCTTCTTCCCCATCTGGATGGCCGTCGCCTGCTGGGGGGCTTTTCTCGTCTTCAACTGGGCCTTTTGCCTGCTTCTGAATGGCCCCGACATCGAGTACCACTCTGACGAGACGTTTGCCGAGGCCCGTCCCGAGCACGCACACGAGCAGTGGGTGTTTCTCAACGGCGTGGCTGTCGGGTAGGTTTTCTTTTATTTATTTTTTATACTTTTCTTTCTTCTTATTCTCTTTCCCTTTGCTGTTAACCTTGTGACGCAACATCGGCTGACTGCGAGGTAGCGACCACTGGATGAAGAACAATCTCAATCGACTGGCGTTGA